TTCTTGGCACTCCAGATGTGTGTATTTCCAGAGCCACTGAAGACGAATAAAAAGGGAAAAAGTGGACACGTATTTACTTTGCCGGAGCGCCCTCGCGCGCTCTGCTCACCAGAGGAGCTCTTGGCTCCTGGCTCCTCGTCTCCGTCCTCCATGTGCCAACTAACTTTCTACTTAAAGAGCGACAGCCCGATTCACCGGCACCGACCCCCGTCCCCCCCTTATGCTTATGGAAAATGCGTTTTGCGCTTCGAAACTAAGTTTAATCCTAGCTACCGCTGCCGAACCAGATCTTACGAGTCCTCTTCCTCCCATTCGAATATAAAGGGGAACTTCAGCAGTATTGGAATTACCAGAGGAATTCCAATGCAGAGGCAGAGTTAAATGAAAAAAAAAAAAAAAAAAAAAAAAAAAGAAGCAGCTTCCCCGTACATAGTATTCTGGAAATGAAAAAGAATAATACGTAGTTTAGGTGATGCTGGAACTATGGAACTACCCTGCAACAATATTGTATAATAATTTTTAATTTTTCTGCAAACGTCAGCGTTCACATCAATAAAGCGAAGAAGTCCAATCGATAGTATCTCTGTCATACTAAAAATCACCCATTCATAATATCCGGGGATTCTCAGAATTGAAACAGGTGTTTCGATATCGTCAAATTAAGCCATAATACACGTTTGAATCAGTTTCAGAAAAATGGAAGGCAGAAAAAAGCAAAATGGTGGAACGAAAACTTCTCTAACGCTTCGTTACAATTAGGAGAAACAAAACAGAAATTGCAAGAGGTGTTTCTTTGAAGTGGTGTTTTCATCTCTAGGATTGTTTTACAGTGGGAACAAGAACTTGTTCCGTTATTAGCATCACGTGAACTACATTTGCGCGAAGTTTCAAATTTTCTTTCTTTTTTTTTTTTTTTTACTTTTCCTCGCGAGTTGGATACTTTTTTCTTTTTGTCTACCCCGGAGGAACCATCCTGTTCCTTCAGATGCCGCGGAGGACGTGCAGAGTTAAATCACAGATCGGATGTAAAGTCATAAACGAGGAAACTTTTTGCTGTGTAGGTCCTGCAAGAAATCGCCGCTCTTCTGCCGCGGGAGGAGCAAGTGGTCGTGTTGGACATGGTGCAACGCGCGGCCAGAGAATCCTCTCGTCGCTCGAGGAAGACCACCTGCGCGTACACGTCCAATTCACCGAGGCAAGTGTACAGGCCGAGGTACGGTTTCTCTAAGAAGAGATGCTTGCTTTTAAAGAGTCGTTAACGGAGGCGCGGTTCCCTCTGGCCGATGCATAATGGATTCGCTTTTGTTCGCCGCAGACCGGAGTCGAATCTGCTGGATTCGCCGGTGCAATCATCGCCAGGAATTCGCGAGCGGCGAATCATCGCGGAGCACCAGAGGCAGCTGGAGAAAGAGATACAGGAGATGCACGACACTCTGAGGCGTAACGCGTTGAGAAGACGACGTCCGTGCAACGTCTGGGACTCGAACTCGCTGTCCTCTTGGAATTCCTCGATCGATTCTATCGCCGGAACGATCAGCCTCCGGAGATACCGCGCCCCAATATGGGACGCTGTCAAAGGTTATTTTATTTGTCCATAGGAACGTTTCGCGTATATATTAATTTTAATTGTATTGATTTATTTATACGGGATAACGATTCCTTGGCACAGAGACGTACAGTACAATAGGGGACAAACATTGCGGAGGAAGCAAAAATGAATGAAATGAAAATTAGCGGATATAGAAAATCAATAAACTGAGGAATTAAATATGAGGAGCAGAAATAAGCAATAATTCATCATAATAAATATCATAATAAATATCTTGAAATTTCGTAAAATTGTGAAGTCTATTATGTATAAAGACATCATGATGAAAAAGTATTATAAATCTATCTTTTATAGTCACAAATAGAATTTAATAATATAAATTGGTTGAAAAGGATCGGAAATGAAATATTGCTTTAATGCAACGTTGGTCTTTAATGATATTAAATTATCCTCGTAATTAGACTAATTTAGCAGCCCAAGCATGTTATTCTTGAACGACGTAAGAGAAGCAACGTAAAAGAAAAAGTTGGATGCGAGAGTTGGTTAAATAAATCTGCTTGTGGAGAAATTCTGCTAATCGGATCAGAGGGAAAGAACCTGTGTTTTATAAAATTTCTTTATCGCTGACCTATGAGACTCAACACTATCGTTATTAAATAATTGATTTATTTGAAGGTTTGCTGACGACATAATATATTCACGAAAAATTTCTGCAAGTGATCAAAATACTTCCGCCAGCCATCGTGTTTACGTTGCAACGATCAATCCGTTTATCGTCTTTTTATAAAATCAATTATTTTATCTCCCGACTCCCACGGTATCCCATTTCATTTACACTCACCTCGTTTGCTTTCGATTGCTTAATACGAGCGTGGCGCACAATTTACCAGCGGCGCGAGGCTCGTTCTTTCTTTCTTTTTTTTTTCTTTTTTTTTTCGCCTGAACGGAATCTGGTAACACCGTGCAAACAATACGGCGATCGATTTTTTCAATTTCAGGAAGTTCGCCGGCTGGCTCCAGCCTGCTCGCTGACGGTAATATCGAGAAAAATAAATTCGACGAGATGATCAGCCGAGAGGAGTCGCCGACGTGGAGCACGCAGGACGCTCGAAGGAAGTTGGACCACTCCGAGTCGAAGAATGGAGACGAATTGCCATCTTGGGACACGCTCGAGGCGACTCTGAATAGAAGGCTGTGTAATTACGGCAACGCCCTGTTAGAATCTCCGGAAATGGACGAAAGTATTGGAAGAAACTGCGTGGCCAAGTCGCGCGAATAATTTCCTTCGTGATAGTAGTTAGATGCTCGCGGCGGCGGGAGGGGAGGGGAAAGGAGGGGAGTGAATTTTTCATTTCTCAAGGCGGCGCAAGTCGTTGGAAATTTGTCTAGGTGGAAACGCGTTTTATGTTTCATCGTGTAGGATCGTTCGATGCAGACGCTCTTGTTTCGGATACGTTGCGTTTAAGATACACGCTCATCGATTCTGACACTTGGCCGACATTTTCGAGCTGTTGAGGCGCGCGAGTGAATAGCTCGCGACACGACTTCTCCGGTGCTTTTGCAACCGTCAAATAAATGTTTCCCCTGGATGATATTTAGAATACGCTGGTAGTATGTATCGAGCTTTGTCGCTTGTTCGGCTTTTCGATGAAACTCTCGATGGAAACTTAATTCTCGCAGACAACAGGGTTACTTCACGCTTCGAGAGTGCCTCTCGACGTTGACTCGTAGGTATATAATGATTACAGAGAGAGAGAGAGAGAGAGACAGAGAGACAGAGACAGAGACAGAAGCCCTCGTAAAATTCGATAAATGTGCAGGTACACGAGCAACTGGGGCGTCGCTTTAAATTTTAATTTAACGTCTGGAAACGATTGCGTTCGTTCAGCCCCTGCCACTTTTCGTTCGGGCTCTTCGTTAATTAAGGGAAACCGCAGGCTGCTTGGAATTCCCCGCTAGCGACGTGGGTTAACGTCGACTGATTTTGGCAAATTCGACGAAAGTAAAATCTCCTCGCAACGCACACAGACCACCCTCCCTTTCTATACTTTCATCAATCTTCACCACCTACGGCTACACTCCGTGACCGTACATTTTTATTAAGGATCCCTGGTACAGGGCTTCGGCAAGATTTCTTCTCGGAGAAGCCTTCTTGTGTACGCCGCGGCCTTTTCCTCAGCTTCCATCTAACGTCCAAACTTCCTGTGCTCCTTAAATTGCGAAAAGATGTAACGCTAAGATTATTCAATCTTATACACGCCGTTTTATACGATATACACCGAAAATAGAAAATAAAACTTCATACGAAGCTCGTGACACGTCTCCGATACTCTCCTGTTGTTTAGGAAAATAGAAATATAGTATACAAGAATGTGTATGAGGCGATTTCTCGTGAGAAAATGAAGATTAAATGTGGAATGAAATTTTGGAGTGCAGTGAGAATCGAGATTTATAAATAAATGGAATAAAAAATGGAAAATTTATCAAGTACACTTGAAGTTGGTTATTTCAGAAATGAATAATCGAAAATGTGAAAATAATTCGAAAATACGAAATGAAATATTTTCATCAAATGCCTTGTTGAATATTACTTGAATATTACTGACTGGAAATATACAAGTTGTAATACGTACATGTATTAACTTTGTCATCTCAAAAATAAGCTTTGAAATGAGAAAATATGTTCCATATTATTTTCTTGTCTTTCTACGAGAAATTACCTAGTGTCAGCTTCTACGTACATATTTTACGCGCCGAAAGAAAAACAGGAACATGTTTTGTAACATGTAACATTCGGGAACAATTCCATAAACAAAAAAAAAATATACATTAAAGACATATTAAGAGACGTGTATAATGTAGAAAAAGACACGCACACATAGTAGTATACAGGTTAATTTAAATTCTCATAGAGAATTACTGCAAATTATTTAATTTCTAGTTTTCACAGGGAATTTAGTCGCACGTGCGCCATGTGTAACATATGCTGGACGTTTCTAATCGTTCTTTCGAAACGATGTACAAGAAAGTACACGTTGGTGTTGGTCGGCCAGCGATTTAACGCGAATTCGGGGAACGCGCGAGGATCGAGGGTAATTGGAAGTAGGCAGAGGGATTCGATTAACCGAATGTAAAAAAGCACAGGTTTGCCAACGGGGTCTCGTAATTGCCAATTAAAGTCGTTGCAATGAGCAACATTGTTCGAGCACTATCGACGAGTCATTGAGTTTTACCCACGTGAGCTCTAATCCCGTGAATTTCACTGGTCCGAAAAGCCTCCAGTTTGTTGTATTATTCTTTCCCCCCCTCCCCTCCTCTCTTTACGAATCAGGCATTGTGCGCGAATCCGAAGTATCAAATCGTAATTGCAAACACTCGGGATACGGGTCACGTCGGATTTTCTCGTTACACGAGCATTTAACATCTATGCGAGCTAATCTTTCGTTATTTTCCTCCTCTTACAGTTATTCGTGAAAATTTACAAACAGAGGACCTGCGAGAAATAACTTTGGGTCAATTCTCGATCCAACTACACTCACCAATTGACTTCGACTCGTTCCGTTCTCTCGAGCACTTCCTAATTGGCGAATCGATAAGTCGAGTGCGCGGCGAAAAGAAACGACAAGTGTAACGCAAAATTGTCAGAGTTACAAACGGACACCTCGATTGATAGTAACGGAGAAAAATCCTACTCGGAAAATCGTACGGGGGATGGGGGGAGGGGAGGGGAGGGGAGATGTTTCGCGGTCAAATGGCAGATAGAGAAGAGGACAGGGGAGAGACAGGCAGGACAAAGGAGCGGGACAGAGGAAAAATGGAAGCGGGAGCATCGTCGTCCTCGTCGTCGTAGTCCTGGAGAGAGAAGTAAGCGGGGACGGGCGAGGAGGGGAGTAGTGTTCGTTCGGCCGGGCAGCTTCCGTGTATTCCGGGGGTGGTTTTGGTGCGCGCGCGCACCGGGGTTGCGCCGTGGTTTCATCTCAGTTTCGCAGCCTCCCTTCCGCGGTCCGCATCTACTCTCTGTCGTCGCTGGCACAGAGGTGTGTCGTTTTATCCGCGTTTGTACCTCATTGTACGCCTCGCCTTTGAGCTCGCCTCTCTCGATATCCGGTCGTCGTACGTCATCGAACGTTCCGTTCGGAGGACTTTCGAATCTCTCGTCGAGAGTCGATCGAGTCTCGGAATCAGAAAGGAGCAACGGCGGGGGTGTTGAGAATTGCGAAGGAGTCGCGGGACCGAGTGAGAACATCGCCTTTGACGCGTAACTTCTCTCGCGTTCGCCGTATAAGCCCGGAGTATGTTACCGTGCGATAGTAGGTGATCCAGCGACGACTGGCGGAACAATGGTGCGCGATGCGGAGGTCCCGACGCGTGTAACTTGGTAAGCAAACGTAGCTTTTGCGTCGCAGTGTGTCTATAACTCGCAGCACACGTACTCGTTTCATTGGAAAGGGTGACGTATAGTGATTGATCGGCGTTCGATCTTCGATCGCGTGTATCATCTGTTTGCTCTCGTTTGGAGGACGACACGCACGACAGATTAGTCATTGATTTTTAAACCTACACCGTTGACTGTTGGCTAGAGTTCTGCGAGACGGGGTCGTTGGTGAATTCCGCGAGAATCGTTTTGTCGATTGTACCCTCGAGAGAATAGCGCATTCCCCACTTCTGGTCGCTGGTTAGGACGGCGAAGCAGCATCCTTTGAACCCTTGGACCGTCATTACGGGTAATGTACTTAATCGTCGGAAAATCGGTTCCTGGTAGGAACTGGTCGGTGCAGTTGCAGTTGAAAGCCGAAGTTGCGATATATATTATATATGCTAGAATATATTGAAAGCTATGTAGTATTGTAGTGGAAATTAACGTGAGAGGACGTTGCAGAAATACACTGCACATGCAAATTGCATCAGACTTAGGCTGGCAATCATTTTGCGAGTTTTCAAACGAGTTTCCTCGCTGTCTGCGAACTACTTTGCTATTCAGTGACTGCTTTTTTCCCCCCCTTTCGCACAACTTTTCCTACGCTCTGTTGCGCCGTTGTTACGTCCATGCATAATCGTCGATCGATGAATATTATTCGCGTTAATCACCGAAATTTCTCGTTTTTCTTCCCTCAGAGATAGAGAGGGAGACACAGAGGGAGAGACGGGGAGAAGGAGGGAATGAACTTGTCGAACAACGAAGTTGAAAACAATCGCGCAGACTACATCGCATTTTGTCACGTCGAATGTTTTGCAAACGCGCTGATCAACGAGCGATAATGCTGATTTTTCATGTTACAAGAGACCGCTTTAAGATACGCTGGGAATACCGGCGAGCAACGTTTCCTTTTTTTTTTCATGGTGCACGGTCGTTTATTAAACCAACGCCAATATCGATGCGTTTGATTTATGACGAATCTTCTTCGGGCCTTCATATATTTCTGCCGAACGTTGTACTTCCGTGTTGGTCCCTTCGATATACGAGCTCCACCGGCCTTCCCGATTTCGCCACGCTCGTGGATTTCACGCAGGGAAGCTGGCTGAAAGGAAGAGAAACAGAGAGAAAGAACTTAATCCGCACGAGAGATCTGAATAATCTCGCAGTAACAGAACGATTAACGCGCATTGTTCGTGGAAAAATGCTCCGGTTGTTTGTCGAAAAATCCTCCACGGTTTCTCTCGTCGGCAAGGAATGCTTGCTAGATAAGTAGATTCTCTAGCCATTTCCTATGGCGAAGAGAGATAATTACAACCACTTTGAACAGAGAAAAGTTAACGAGGTATCGTCATCGCGATTTTCGTCGACGTTATTTTCCGTCGATATTTAACCGGACCAAAGTCAATCACGCTCAACAATTAATTAAACGATCACGCGTCGATGAACGCCTGACGTCGAATCGTTTCATACTGTCGATCTTTTTTTACTTGATTTTCGAACGTTCGTTGTCTCAGATTTTCACAACCTCTCGCAATTATCGAGCGATCGAGCGAAAGATAATCGAATTCGCGTGGTCGAAAGGGACGGCGCGGTGCGCGTCGACGAATTGAATGCCGTTTCTCTGTCGAAAGTAGGACGCAAGCAGTTGTACCAAAGACATGTAACTCGATAAGCGAATAATAATTCCTCTGTGCAACAACGAATTCGAAACGGGGGAGCAGACGCGCCGAGTCAGCACGGTGTAATAGATACATGTATAATAGAATGTACGCGCTCCGTGCAAGCTATTCTAGCTTTTTTACTCCTTTGACCATGTTACTCGTCTCGCGTGCATGTTTAAGTTGATTTTCCATCCGATGGGAAGTCGCTCCGGCCAGAGGAACAAACAACTGCGC